CGGTATCCCACGAAGCGGTTGGGGTTTTAGCAGAAATAATGCCACCAGATATAATGGCCACGGAACTTAAAARAGTATACAATAGCTCTACAAGTCTGGGCAGGCGACTAACGGCTGAAGAACGGAAGGATGAGAGACAAACAAGACTCGAYGAGTGGCAGAAACGATGGAAGGCAGCTACAACGGTATATAGGAAACATGGAGAAACAGATTTCTATCTGACGCAGTTTCTGACGGGACACGGGTATTTTAGGGAGTATTTCTATAAGTGTTCACCGGATAACAGAGTGCAATCCTTGACGGAATCGAAACAAGTGTGAGAGAGTGGTGTGCTATAGTTCTGAAAGAGCTAAGAAGGAAAGAGTGGCAAAGCAGAGAAAACAGAAGGATGAATGAGGAGTAGGCCAGAATGGCGTGACTGACGAGCCGAATGGCTAAGCTTGGCCTCACGATGTAATGCTTAACGGCAGTTCCGAGGGGCAAATAAACAACCAAAGACAATAGTGTTAAGGATTTAGTACGTAGGCGTATTGGACTACGAGTGAGCGGCTAATACGAATCGTGCATACTGCCCGTAAAAATTACGGTATCTTTCGAAGAAGATTTCTCCTCCAAAATAAAAAACAAAAAAAAAAAAAACGATACACACACGTATCAAACACAGCACTTAACACCGCTCATCATACAACACAACAACCACACCATCATCAACGAGTCGTCTCTAATATTCACCACAAAACTATTTAAAGAGGTAGATCTGAACGATATCCTCATTCTTATCCTTTCATCCCTGAACTAAGGCGTTCGACCGAATAACCACCCCTTACCGCAGAAGGCCGTTTTTATATTATATTTACTTATAATGAACCAGGAGGTGCAAGTGACATAATCCCAAAATTCGATAGCAGTGTCCCGCAGTGTGTTTCGCAACAAAAATAAAGTGATTTTGTATTAATTCAATAAAAGGTTCATTTCCAAGTATTGACCAAGTATACCAATGTCTCACGTGAGCAAGGTGAATTAAGCCTGTTAGTTCTCCATTAATAAATGTTTTTAATCATTTTTAGTTCTACTATACATAAAATTGGAAAACAGTTCATGATACATATTTAAAGTTTGCATTTTATTTAATTTTCATTGTTTTACATTTATTAGCGATCTTGAATGGCGGCAACAAATCCCTCCGTTCTCATATATTTTTGGTATAATCTCAATCTGGCCATTCCAGTTATTCACATTGCAAAACGTCAAAACCTAATCAATCCAGTCAACTGTCAAAGTTCGGTAGGTGGGCGGTTCTCACACCTCCAAGGACAGGAGAGTTGGGCATCTCTTTATCTTCTGCGATGAACATCAAGTTTCGGAGGAATGTCATTGTTTTTTCAAACTTTTTATGCCCTTTCCTCCTGTAAACTGACATTCTCTTCATCTAGCCCTCGTTCGAACTTTGCTAATCCTAGTTAAAAAAATTACCTTGATTCCTTTTTAATCTATTTATTAAATAAGATATTGAAACGCAAAGTTAACCAAAACATTGCGTTTTTCCCCTGCTTGTTTTATTAATTATTCTTCTTGAAAAGTTGTGTATTGTTTTATGCTTATGCTTTCTCTCATTCAAATGAAAATTACTGAAATTGTGACTGTGACCACTTTAACGGGGCATCTCGACAGGCAAAAATTTGCCATATATTGAAAGCTATGAACTGTCACTTCAGCAGTTTGACACATAAATTTTCATCCATAAAAAAATTTAAACAGCTCAAGAGCTCAAAACATGCGCTACATCAGCTCGAACCTACCTCGAAGTGTTAGTTGATATAACAGTTAAAAATATAAGTGTAAAACTCATTTAAAATTGGAGAACACAAATTTTAAATAGTTGAATTTTTGAACTTTTAATGCAAATATCTCAAAAACCATACGTCAGCGCCAACTTTGAATATAGAAATTTTCTTAAGCACGATTCCAATTACTTTGGCGGTCGGGTAAAAACCCGAATTTAAATGGGGTATGTACGGATAGGGGAGCTCTCCAGAGGAGGACTATTATTCAGAAATTTGTATTAATAACACTAGGTATTTTACAACCCCTACGAATGGTAGACACCTTGCYGTGGTGCAGGGACTTAGTCGCAAGGCATACTCGGTACCCCCCACCGGTGTGTGTGGTGTTGATTAGCCCTGTCCAGGCAAAATGTCGGGTGCCGCATGTCGGCACAGMTGCAGGCAGGGGGGTCAAAGAGCTATTTGGAAGTTTAGCTTCCTTGGCGCTCTCTCGCCAGAAGAGCGGGCRCTGTTCAACCAATATGCCTGGGAGAATGACGACGCCCTCATGCAGCRGCGCTCGGTAGAAGAAAGAGAATGTGGCCGCTGATGTAGCTGCGAGCACCACCAGGACCCCTGTAAGAGGCTTAGCTGTTCAGGCGCCGGGGAGTCATATTGGGCAGAGACCTATGGTGCTCGTAAGCCCTCCTTCTTTCAAGAACCCGAATCTGGGCCTCAGTATCTCAACCTGGCGCGTCGTCAGCAGCACGGTTGAGGAAAGATGAGACATTTAGGATGGAGATTGTACTTGTACAAATATGACGACTCGTACAAGTACGTCCGAGCAGCGAGCTGCCGCTGCACGATGGTCATGAGTCATAGTGGSCRTTGACATGGAAGTCGGCTACAGCTTCGGCTGTCATARCGAGCAGGTTCACGACGGATAAACTGGGCAACCTGCTGATCCAAGAGCCTTGGGTCTGCAGAGGAGAGGTTAAAGGCCTCAAGACAGAGTTCAACAARGTAATCTGAGACCTAGAACTTGTATAGTGGTCCGGAATAATATTGAATTTTTATGTATTTCAGAGTTACTGTTGCAGGATCTGGTGGCGTTACTAGCCAGAGACTTCGAAGGCAAAGACTTCGTCCTGGCATCAGCCTGTTTCCCAGTTGGGATGAGCTCGCCCGCTCCGCAGCCTATACCAATATGGTAGGACCCGAACCCTTCACTGGGGTGGGTCCCCATACCTTAAAGGAGCTGCTCCCCAAGGAAGAAGGATTGGGCAGAGAAAAACATTGGTAACGTGTGCATAGTATGCGACATGCCAAGTTGCTAATTTGGRGGTACAACTAGAGCAGTTTTAAATCTGTAATGAATAGGTATTTATACACCATGGGCCTATCCTCTTGCGCTAACTGCCGGTTCTGCAATAGGGAGCCTTAATCAGCGAAAACCCTTGCTAATCGACTGCACAGCAGTCTGTAGACGCAGGTTTAAGGCCTTTGGATCCATGTTTCCGGATAGGGATCGCATTGCCTCACTAACACCCGGCAGGATATTGGACTTTATCAATATACTCGGCCTAAGTGAGTCCTTGTGATTTAGGAGAGGGTACAATAGATCTAAGTTCGCGGTGCATTCCTCATTTATCAATCTAATCTTATCGAAGTATTTCACAATGKTTCACTAATTTTTTCACATTTTTCACTTTGTATATCTAAATATGCACTCTAAACATTGAAATAAGTTCACATTTCTCTTTTATTTTGTTATATTTCAGCTATATTTATTAACTTAAAAATCACTTAGCACACTCATCTTAAAAACCAAATATGTAAGATTTTCAACGACTTTTCGTTATATTTTCATGTTTCTTTTTTCTACATTAACTATAATAAAAAAGACTTTCCAACATTTTTCAAGCTATATTTGAGTTGTGAATAAGTAAAAATCAAAGATAATATTATATCATATCGAGGTGACTGAAGTACTTTCGCGTGGTATTTCTTTCTGCGTTGGCGCCTTTGGCCGCGCTATTAAAGAAAATTATCCTAGTCGAGCCAATACCCAGGGTGACTGAAGCACTTTTGTGTAGTTCTTCTTTCTGTGTTGGCGGCCTCTGGCCGACCTTTAAAATAAATAACCCTGGTCGAGCCAATACTCAGGGTGACTGAAGTTCTTTTGCGTAGTACCTCTTTAAAAATCTAAGTATTTTATTACGTAATATTATTATTTAATTTAGTTGTTTACTAAATTTAAATAAATATCAATATGCATGGATTACAATTTATAGACGCTTGTTTTCATTAAAACTAATTTTGCTAAACAAAGGAAGAGGAAATAATACTATGTTCGGACCGACATTGAAAACATTTTGAAARCACATTTGTATGTTGTGGAATCTAAGTCGTTCGGACCGACAATGTGTGTTTTCGATGAGTTTTCACTGACAACTATCAAAAGCGRCATTCTCTTGCTCTTGCAAAACTGCACGATGACACAATATCATAGATAACTTGATACGAGACTCTTTGGTTCGAGAGAGGGCTGTCAAAATTCGCATTTTTTTATAACATTTGCCAAGGATGCCACTGCTGAAAAATATAAGYTTGGGTATTTAATAAATTATACAAAACACTAAATTAAACACTTTGGAAATGCATACATATATAATTGCTTAAATGCAAAATCATTAATTAATTTACATAAACATTTATTTCGCCAAACTATGTTCGCACAGTTCAATGAAATTTCATTTCACACTAATTTCGTCAAGTAATTATAGCGCTGCTGTTCTGGCATCCCGCCTTTTTCACTAACTGCTTGTTGACGASATCCTGATTGTGTTTTGTTGCCAGCTMAGAAAACAGATCAGGGTCCCTGCCAGCTGACAAGTGAGAGAGCAAGAAAATAGATTCTGATGAAATTATCTATGACAATATGCAAAAATCCTATACCGAAATATGCAAGGCCAAGAGAGCACACATTAGAGGAGTGATATATGACGGCATGAAAATAAACATKGGTTTTGATCTGACAGTCATTGCAATTAATTTTCTGCGGGTGTTTGATGTTGTGCCGTTGCAAAAAAGGGAAAATTCTGCAATTTCAACAAATGACAATTTAGGGCCAGCAAAACATGTCTTCCAAAAACATCGATAAAACTAGAGCAGGCACCGATTACAATGAGTGGAATGTAAGTTTTCAAGAAGTTTCCAGCGAAAACTATGTTTTCGTTTGACAGATTTTAGATGGACGAAAACATAAGTTTTCGTGCGAAAACCAGTTTTKCCGGTCGGTCCGAACATAGTATAAGCGGAAAAGAGAAACTTCAGCGAATTGCTCATATTTACATTATCATATGACAGCGCTCCATTACCATAAATGATGTTCACTATGAGTGTAAAAGGTAATTTTTAAAACATAAATTTCTTAATTATAAATCCTGCAAAAAGTGTAAATTGTGAACTTGTTTAAATATTTATAGTTTAATCTAACTATTTTGCGTGCGTGTAAGGTCGAATATCCCGTAAACTAAGCGTTTGCGGCCTCTTTTTTAATCAGGAGGACTTCCTTTTTCCGACGGTGGCTTCAACTCGCGGCGACATAGAAATCGGAATTGTGCTTTTTCTTAATTAAAGGCTTGGATATGATAATACAAAAGCATTCATTAAACTTTTGTATCAAAAGTGTGACGCAAAGCGAAGCGAAACTTCTTTGTGAATTGGCCATAAGAGTATATATACTTAAGTATATAGTTTGATTATACATACTTATATAGTTTGTTTATCGACTTTCGATTTGTTTTATAAAATTTGTAAAAGATGGGTTAAGAAGTGTATATAAAGGTTGTTTTACATCGGTTACTGTGCAGCATTAAAAGCAATAATAATAAGAGAAATTTGAGAAAAGAATATGAGAACTCGACCTCGGTGCCGAACTTGGCTGCCATTATCTACTCAGCAGCTTCGTTTGCGAAATCTTATTAGGATTGAAGGTATAAATATTAAATGTCAGGAATCGGGGGCTTTGATATATTATACACTGCATGAAACAGTCGAAAAAGATGCTTTTTATACAAGCGAATTTTTGCCTCATCGACAGGATCAAAATTGGGCTGAAATTATATGTCCTAAAATATTTAAAGCCAATGACCAAAGTGTTTGTGTCAAAGTGTGGGCGCACTTTATAACTGGCTTACTAGATAAAGATTGCGTTCAACAAATTGCTTGTGGTAATACAGAGCCATTAAGGTAATGGATATCTATGTTTATTAAACTTTTATGAATATGTGTTTTTTTCAGTGCCTTCTCAAATAACCTTTGGTGTCCCCGTGATGATAAGGAAAAAAATTCGCAATATAAACTTCTTTTCACTTGGGGAATATACCTTTCTGGTCTGACGCCAGTAAGTGAAAAATACTTTTTAAAGTTAAAGGAAAATTCTTTGCTTTTCTATATAAACGGAGGATGCTTTACCTCAGCAAAACATATAAATTCGGACATTACAATAGTTGACAATTTCTGTCTTCTAAATGAAGTGTTTCCACATTATGTTAAAAGTAGATTAAACTCATCAGACACGAATGATATTGAAAAAGGAAATGCAGTTTTTTGCAAAAACGCTGTAACTGCTCGTTACATAATTATGTACTATAAAAGAGATGATGTACGTAAAGGGTATAGTTTGCAACAGCTTTTGAAGATACAGGAAATACAACGAAGATGTTTACAAAAATTAAGAGAAAGCAAAGATATTACTATTGAAATTCAACGAAAATGCGTGCTATGCGTCACAAAGGAACAACTTTCCATTCCACTAAACTCTTCATTTAATAACTCATTCACGAGGAATTCTCAAAGAACCTCAATGGGTCGAGCATTAAGTGAGTTATTTTCAGAGGAACGCCAWTTGAGTCCACAAATTTTATATTGTGCCCAAAATTTAAATAAGCAATTAGAAACCTTGCGATTGAAACAAAGCCTCCTCCAATTTGAGCATAAAAGTTTTTCTCTTCGCTTACGTCAAAAAGCCAAAGGTTTAATCCTTTTAAATGAAATCCGACACCAGGATCAACTTTCTATTCGATCTCGTAATCAACAGTTGCATGACGAAAAAAAAGTGTTGATAGAGCAGTATCAGCAGATATATCTTCTTCGAAAAAAAAAGGTCGATATCATCCGAAATACAGAACGGAGAATGTCAGCATTATGTGTTGGCCTACGTGAAATTTACCCCATAGAAACAAAAACAAATGCTTTCAATACTATCAACAACGTACCATTTCCAAGTATGGAAGCATTGATTAATTATACTAAGTCGCATAATACAAGCAGTTCGGAAAATATATTGCCTATTACATTGAGTGTTTCACTGGGATATATTGCTCATTTAGTGCAGATGATTGCTTTTATATTCAACCGCCCTTTAAGGTAATTTACATCGAAGATTCTCAGAAAAATATACGATCGCTAATTTCCATTTCCATTTATATGTTCCACTTTTTTACAACATGTAAGTTTTAAGTATGTAACTAATCCAATAAACTTTCATTTTTGGATTTTAGAAATGCAATAATACATCAAGGTTCCCGCTCCCGAATAATTGATACCGTAAAAGAGATTCCGTTATCGTGTTCAGAGTAGGTAGTAACTTACATAATCTTCTTATATAGCTTATTTACATTCCATTCTTAGATTTCCTCTTTATAATCGCTCAAATATACCATCGAAGGCAGTAAAATACGGAATATTCTTGCTAAACCAAAATATAGCTCAGCTTTGTTTCGATATTATAGGACTGCGTTGTGATATGAGTTTGACACTTGAAAATATCCGTCAGATATTTCTTTATCTAAGTGAAGTTCAAACTTTGGATGAGAAAAAAATGTGCCGCAATAAGAGGGGCACCTTGAGTTACAATGGTTGTACAATTATGGATGGTAATCTGCTCTCGAATTCACATTCATCGATCGATATAAATAACTTGTCAGTTCCTTTGGTGACTGTAACACCAGAAAATTCTTCGTCGCAATTGGCAAATAGCATGCCATTCCCAATTGAAGGTGGCATCAATATCAAACAAAGGTTTGTAACTAAAAATATTATTTATTATGATATGTGTCATTATAAATTGCAGATGGTCGATTTGTTGATTATTCAATTATATAAGGTTTCATTTGTGGCCCAATAACAAGTAGTATGTGGGAAAAGTAATTAAATCCACAATGACAAAATCCGCCATTTTCTTTTGTATTCACGATTCAAAAACAAAATTTTTAAATATTTCAACCCATGTTTTTTGAGTGATAACCGAAAACGATTAGATTGTAAACAACACAAATTCTAAATGACCATAATGACTATGAGTAGATTCCCTGGTCCGTATTAATAAGTCAGTTCGTTTATTACCTTGAAATTGCCCAAAACCAAAACTGTTAAAATGACTAGCAAGACTGATGATTAAAATTTCAAGAATTTTAAATATTAATAAAACTTAATACACATGGTATAGCTTTTGACAGAACCAGGGTTAATTCGGATTAATTGCATTCTACTTTTTCTTAACTGTGGTTAACACCGCTTACGCAGTTATAGCCGAGTTAACAACAGCGCGGAAGTCGTTTCTTCTTTTTTCATGGTGGCGCCAATTAGAGATTCCAAGCGAAGCCAGTTCCTTCTCCACCTGGTCCTTCCAACGGAGTGGAGGTCTTTCTCTTCCGCTGCTTTCCCCTGCGGCTACTGCGTCGAATACTTTCAGAACGGAGTGTTTTACACCCATTCGGACGACATGACCTAGACAAGATAGCCGCTGACTTTTATCATACTCATACTGCTCATCGTTCAGTCGAATGYGATATTCGCCGTGGCCAACGCGCAAATGACCATAAATCTTTCGCAGAAAACTCGCAACGTCGACTAATCAGATATGGTCATCGCCCATGCCTCTGTACCATATAGCAGGACGGGAATAATGAGTGACTTATRGAGTTTTGTTTTTGTTCGTCGAGAGAAGACTTTACTTCTYAATTGCCTACGTAGCAGAGGTTGGCCAGATATATCCTGCGTKGGATTTCSAGGCTGACATTRTTGKTGRTGTTKAYGCTGGTTTCAAGATAGGCGAAATTATCTACAACTTCGAAGTTATGACTGTCAACAGTGACGTGAGAGCCATTTCGCGAATACGACAACTGTTTGTTTAATGACAGGAGATATTTCGACTTGCTCTCGTTCACTGCCAGACCCATTTGCGTTGCTTCCTTGTCCAGTCTGGAGAAAGCAGAACTAACAACACGGGTGATGAGAGCGATGATACTATAATATAGTTTTGCGGGGTTACCAAATGGTGTCGAAATTAGCTGTGAAATCGACAAAGAGGTGATGTGTCCATTTTTTTTCACGGGTCTTTTTCAAGATTTGGCGCCTGGTGAATATCTTTGCGGTTGTTGATTTGCCTGGTCTAAAGCCACACTGAAAAGGTCCAATCAGTTTGTTGACGGTGGGCTTTAATGTTCACGCAAAACGCTCGATAGAATCTTATACGGGATGTTAAGGAGGCTTTACCCATGGTAGTTGGCACAGATTATGGGGTTTTCGTTTTTCTGAATTGAGCAGCGCAGAGCACATTTAAATTCCAATCGTCCCACCATATTTTACAAATAAGCTTATGCATGCTTCTTATTATTTCTTTCTCGCAGTGTTGAAATAGCTTTGCCGCCAATCTTTCGGCCATCACCGCTTGTTTGTTCTTCAGACGGGTATTTGCTATTCGAACTTCTTCACGGTCGGACAATGGAACGTCTGCGTTCACTGCCATTCGGCAGGCTGGAGAAGTGTTCCCTCCATAATTTTAGTATGCTCTGGACATCGGTCACTAAATCATCTTTGGGGGTTCTACAAGAGTTTGCTCCAGTCTTGAAACCCTCTGTTAGTCGCCGCATCTTTTCACAGAATTTTGGAGCATTATCCCTATCGGCCAGCTTGTCGAGCTCTTCATACTTACGCATTTCGGTCTTTTTCTTTTTGTTTCTCTAAATGCGTGTCGCTTTCCTCTTCAACTCTTGGTATCTATCCCATCCCGCACGTGTTGTCGATCATAACCTTGCGAGGTGTGCAGTTTGTTTTCTCTCCGCTGCGACACTTCACTTCTCGTTGTTGTTGTTGTTGTTGTTTTAACGGTTATCAGTCCCCGTTGGGATGGTGATAGCTATCTGTGTTGTCGTCGATGTCATCTAACGGGAGGCCCAGGAAACGTGCTATTTCGACGGGGTCGGACCARAGGGAAAAGGGTKTTAGATGGGTGGGGTTGGTTGGGCATGCAAAGAGGTGGTCAGTGTCATGCGGAGACTCGTTGCATGCAGGACATACGTTGGGTATGTCWGGGTCTATTCTGGATAGGTAGGAGTTTAACCTGCTATAATATCCAGAACGAAGTTGCGCAAGGGTCACTCGCGTTTCTCGCGACAACTCGAGCTCTTCGTCTGCTATGGGTGGTGATTTGACTCCAAGTACGCCATTCACGGGGAGGGAGTCGGTGAAGGTGTTAATGGCTCCACTGTGAATGGTGGTCAGTGCCTGTCGGAAGTCTGTTGCGTCCGAGGTCCTGTCGGCGTATTGTTCGATGTCGTCGACGTAGTCAAGGAATGACCTCTTGATGCCCCTAGGAGGCGGTTCCGCTCCAAGCAGATGAGTGCAAGGATGATTTCTACGGAAACATCCCAGCAGGAACTGCTTGGAGAGGAGTTTGTTATGCTCCTTAACTGGGAGCATAAGCGTCTCACTGTGTAGATGTTCGA